GGATACTAGAGAATAACTATGCCATGGATGTATATGTCAACTCAATTTAACCAGCCAAGAAGTTAAAACAAAACTGTTTTTTTCCTTGTAACTGAAAATAGCATGCTGAATATTATGAAGGAAATATATGTATGGTCTCAACCAAGTACCCCACCTGCTGGAAAAAAAGCAATTATTTTCCTGGCACTGCTAGGGTAGTGATTTTATAGCAGCAATTATGAAAACTATATAGGGTTGAAAACTTGAAATGCCGCAGATTGTAGCTATACAAATCATATCGGATATGAAGCAATAAGGTTTATGTGAATGACTAATGAATTTTCCTCACGGGCTGTTAGCTGTTGTATTCCTACCTTCTCCTCTTGCATTAACAACAGGTATAACCAAATTGAATATGCTTTCTATTAGGCAGTTATTCTAAGAGTTGAAACTAGAAGATCTTTTAGGCTTTTTGATCTTTTGACCCCCATGTATACAATTGAATTATATGTGCCTCCCTTTTTGTAAAAACTCGTTCAACATAAGAATTGCATGTTAAGAAGGTATTGCAGTTAGGAAAAGCATACTAATTGTAAACATTAAATAGGACATTCAGTTTGAGACAGTTGAAGTATATGGGAACAAGTGTCAAAAGAATGACATACATCCTATTATGGGGTTCATGATAGAGTACAGATTTCAATGATCCAGGTCCTCAAGAAATGACAAGGAAACAATTGTCAATCAGTACAATGGTCAATTTGACCTAGTCAAATGTAACTGCTTTGAACCGTTAAAGAAATTTTTGCCCAAAATGACGAAGTTTAGACTTTGATATGTTCCTTTATTGCAACTTGAGGTATTAGTGCTTTCTACTTTGTTAGACAATTGGTCCCAGTTTGTGTTTTAAGATGGATTACCTTCAGCATTGGAAGTTTAACCTGATGAGTGGGCTTGAAATTTGTTATCTCTTCTCATGGTCATTACGTCAAAGTATATTGTTCTTTTAGTTATTTTTAAGTACATTATTGTGTTTGATTATAGATTTTGGTTGAGGAATTTGACTTTGAGAAGCTGCAGCATATACTGTATTCCCTTGTTACTATATTTGGTTATCCAATGTGTTTCCAGGCTTCTCTTTACATTGCCAATAATAAGATTATCCACATCAAATATCTTATGTCATTACCTCTGAATGTGACATTCGAAACTTGTGTTTTTTCGTTAACTTGGCTTCTGTCTGTTCGTTAGAACTGGATTTGAGGAGGACAAAAATTTTCACGTTCCTTTAAATTCAGTAATTGCTGGCCGCTACCATGTTACTGAGTTTCTTGGATCAGCTGCATTCAGCAAAGCCGTCCAGGCGCATGACCTTCATACTGGGATGGATGTCTGCGTCAAGATTATAAAAAACAACAAGGATTTTTTTGATCAGAGCCTTGATGAAATAAAACTTCTCAAGTATGTCAACAAGCACGACCCTGCAGACAAGTATCATATTCTTCGGTTGTATGATTATTTCTATTATCGAGTAAGTGAACTTTGTATTACTCTTTTGAATTTTTCCCCCATTTAATTTTTAGTTGGGATTATGTTTCTCTCAATCATGTAGCTAAGGTCATGTACATATTGTCTTGGAACAGATTGTGATGGTCGTCTTTTCCTTCCCTGTATTAAAGTTGGTATTTAGACATACAGTAGGAGATTGGATCTATCTTTCTAACTCTGAACTCTTTTGCCCTTTTCTATTAACATTTTTATCTGTTTGACTCATTGAACCTTCTTCACATTGAATAGATTTTTCTCATAGGGTAATCCAACACGTGTAAATGCTGATTTCATGAATGTTTACCAGTTTAGAAAGATTTAGTAATGCTAATGGATGTGACTTGTATGGACCTTGCATTTTATTATTTTCATTTTTAACATTTCTGTTGTTTCCGTTCTCTCATATTGTAAAGGAAAGTTTTGAGTCATGCCGTTGCCCTCACATTGAAGGCATTCGGCAATAAGTGTCTGCCTGACTCTTTACTCAATAGTTGGTGGATAATTTTTTTTTTTTCCCTAAAGATGCAGAAAGTGTAAAAAGTCACATATATAGAAGATAATTGTGAAGATCATTCTCAAATATAGTGTAGCAATTCCTTTAACAGTATCAGTGGAACACACATATTGAATTAAGTATATAATGTTGTTTCATGCTTCTCTTAAATATAATATTAGCATGCGTCTGTATTCCAAACTAGATTCGAATCTTTTAGGCCTCTTGATTGTATAGTTTGAAACAGATACACCTCCAATTTATAACAGTTGTCGAAGTAGCTTTTTATATAAGTGTAACATGTAAAAGTAGTGATTACAATTCAATGGAATGAACCAAGTCGTGAGCCACATGCTGAGTTCTGTGGTAAAATGAGAATAATTTTTGTGTGTTTTATTCAGTCACAAAACAGATGCCTTTATGGGCTAGTACAAACCTAGGTCAACTAGCTAAAAAGGAAACATAGAAAATATTCCTACAGAATCCCTGATTATACTCTAACTATTCAATCCCTGATTATGCTCTAACAATTCCCATAGAATCAGGAATTAGTATCCTAAGATTTACAATAATTTACAACTAAAAAGGAAACTAAATAATATACATTATTTTCCACTCTCCCCCTCAAGCCGGTGAATAGGCACTTTCCATTCCCAACTTCGAAACAAGTGTTTGAACTGTACTGTTCAGCCCCTTTGTAAACACATCATCTAATTGACCTGTAGTGGACACGTAGGGTGTACAGATCAAACCATTATCCAACTTTTCTTTGATAAAGTGTCTGTCTATCTCGATGTGCTTAGTTATGTCATGTTGAATTTGATTGTATGCAATATTGATGGCAAACTCGTCACAGTAAAGTATCATGGGTCCAACCCATTTGATCTTCATGTCCTCTAAGATGATCTTCAACCACAATAGCTCATATACTCCTTGTGCCATTGCTATAACTTCTGCTTCCGCACTTGACTTGGCTACCACATTCTGCTTCTTCTCCACGACACAAGATTACCTCCTTGAAAAGTGCAATACCTGGATGGGGATCTCCTATCAATCACTGATCTCGCATAATGTGCATTTGTGAATGCCTCGAGTATTAATCCCGAGTTTCTTCTGTACATAATTCCTTTTCTTGGATTACCCTTTAGGTAGTGCAATACTCGATAGACTGCTTGTAAGTGTACTTCCTTAGGGCTATGCATGAACTGACTGATGACCTGCATATGCAATATCTGGCCATGTGTGTGAGAGGTAGATGAGCTTTCCTACCAATCTTTGGTATCTCTCTCAGTCAACGGTAGTACCTTCACTATATTCTCCCAATTTGTTATTATGATCAACCAGTGTGTCAACAGGTTTGCATGCCAATAATCCTGTTTCTTTCAACAAATCAATCACATACTTCTATTGCGAAATAAAAATACCCTTCCTTGAGCATGCCACTTCAATTCCTAGGAAGTACTTCAATCTGCCTAATTCTTTGATCTTGAATTCGTCTACCAACTTCTGCCGAAGAATTTGTTTCGCATGGTTATCATTCCCCTTCACCACAATGTCATCAACATGTACTAAAAGGGCAATGACTCCCTCTGATGCTGAGCGTTTAATGAATAGTGTATGATCTCCTTGACTTGTTTGTACCTGTTCGTTAGCAATACCTTTGTGAATCTTCCAAACCAGGCTCTTGGTCACTGTTTAAGGCCATAAAATGCCTTTTTCAACTTGCACACTTTGTTGTTTCTAATTTTCCTATGAATCCCGATGGAACTTCCATGTACATCTCTTCTTCCAAATCACCATGAAGAAAAGCATTTTTCACATCAAATTGTTGCAGATCCCAATTAAAGTTAGCAGCCAACAACAATAATACCTTCACCGTATTCATCTTAGCAACTGGTGAAAAAGTTTATTGATAACCTACCGCATATGTTTGAGTATACCCGTTGGCTACCAATTTAGCTTTATATCTCTCAAGAGATCCATCAACCTTATACTTCATCGTAAACACCCACTTGCATCCCACTACATTCTTCCTCTTCGGCAGTTCAACTAGTTCCCATGTCTCGTTTTTCTCTAAGGCTTGCACTCTTCCACTTTTCATTAGATAATGCCTCAAATAAGGTGTTGGGAATTGGAAGTGTTTAGGTTTACTAGAAATCTCTAATGGGATGGAGAGAATTTATCAAATGACACGAACTTGGATATCGGGTAAAGTGGATGCTGGGTACATTCTCTAGTTCCTTTTCTAACAGCAATATGTAGGTTATGATCGTTGGTTGAAGGTTCGGAGATTGGTTTCTCAATATGAAGAGTAAAAGTTGTGGTTACCTCATTTCCAGAAATCAGGTCAGACTCTCGTACTTGCACATGTTCGAGCAGTGAACTTTTCCTTCTTGAGTACACTTGCAACGGTCGAGCATTATCAAAAATAATGTTGTCTTGGACCACAATTTGACTAGTTGGTTTAGGCATGGATTTGGAGTTATGAACCAAGAAGGATGGTGGAACCGATGAAGATGGCATCGAGGATGATGATGACAACTCTAGCAAGAAGAAATCCATATCCTTATCTTCTAAAAATGAGGTCTCTCCCTGAAGATAAGGAATGAAGAAATAGGGATGATTTTCGACAAAGATAAAATCAATGGAAACAAAGAATTTTTTGGTTGGAGCATGATAACACTTATACCCTTTTTGAGTTGAGGAATACCCTATGAAGATGCACTTGAGTGCCCTTTGGTCTAACTTTCCCCGATTGTGACTATGTACATGAACAAATGAGGTGCACTCGAATACCTTAGGAGTAAGATTGTTTGTGGTTTTGAGATCCAGATAAAATTGAGTGAGGATTTCCATAGGGGTTTTAAATCCTAAGACTCGAGAAGGTAACCTATTGATCAGATGGGTGGCAGTCAACACAACTTCACCCGAACATTTTGCTGGAATAGAAAAGCTCGGGGTAATATTTAGTAAGTGGCCATTTTTTCTTTCAGCTACTCCATTTTGCTGTGGAGTGTTAATACAAGATAACTCATGAATAATGCCTTCTTTTTTACAATAAGGGGATAAAATCTGATTGAAGTTATCTCTTGCATTATGTGACCTAATTCTTTTGATTTTTGACCTCGAATTGATTTTGGATCATATTATGGAAGTTAGGGAACACATGACTCAAATCAAATTAGGATTTAAGCAAGAAAACCCATGAAACCTTAGTGCAATCATCAATAAACGAAACAAACCACCGTGCACCAGAAACATTAGGAGTAGTAGAAGGACCTCATATATCAGTATGAACTAAAGGTGTCCTAGACGGAGATGGTGAAGCCAAATCTTGGTTTTGTTGTTTGAAAGAGTTTTAGAGAGGAATGACAAAGTTACATTATTCTTGATAATACTTGAGCTGCCTTGTGTGTGAAGATAGTAGAGTCCTGCCTTATCCTTAGCCTGTCCAGTCGTCTTCCCCAAATCCCGGCCCTCAAATATACAATAAGTGGGATAAAACACAACATTACACTTCATGTCTTGAGTGAGTTTAGTTATGGATAAAAGGTTGGTTGACAATTTTTGGAATATGTAGGACATTTTTAAGGGTAAGAAAGGGATCGAGTTGTATGTCTCCTAAATTGGCTACCATGGTATTGGTCAATGAACCATCGGCTATTGCAATTTTCCTATTGCTAGGACAAGGAGTGTAGGTGCTAAAGTTTTGTGATAGGTTGGTCATGTGATCAATGGCTCCTGAGTCAATGACACACGAGTTGGAAAATAATGTATCTGAGACATTTAATCCACGAGAAGTGACCAACATACCTGAGTTCACCAAAGAACATGTACCTGACGGTTTCTCCAGGGTCCCCAACAAGCTTCTCAGCTTCTCAATCTCTTCCTTACTGAATTCCCATCTCTGATTTTGCTTCTGGGTTCAGTTGTGTAGTAGTCAAGTAAGCTTGTCCTTCATTGCTTGATTGTCCTCCTTTATATCCCCATTCTCTGCTAGGAGGATTTCCTATTAATTTCCAGCAATATTCCCTCGTGTCGCGATTTTTTACAATAGCTACACCATAGATTGTCCTTGTCGTCACGATTTTGAGATCTAAAAGAATTTGCCCTGCCTTCTTCAGTTGCTAGTTGTCTTTGATTATTAGCTTGTTTCTGATTTGGACTTTGTCCCCAATGTCGATTGTTTGCACCGGTGATTGCCATTGCTGACCCTTCCAAAGCTTGAGGTTCAAGCATGACACTTCTTCTATCTCTTCTGCTCGAACCATCGATATGGTTTCATTTAACAGCGGCACTTCTTCTTTGCCTAAAATTTGCACCCTGACTTGATCAAATTCCACATAAGACCTGCCAGGAAATCATATACTCGATCCCTCTCTATAAACTGCTTCAACATTGCTGCATCCTTGCTACACTTCATTTGAATGCACCTGTAGTGATCCAACTCTTGCCAAGATTCTTCAGGATATTAGCGTATTCAGTAACAGATTTGTTCCCCTGCTTGGTGCTGGCTGTCTTAATCTTAATCTCGTAAACCTGGGCAGCATCTCTAACCTTGAGTACGTTTGTTGAACAGCTTCCCATATGTCCTTTGCTGTAGGCAAAAACATGCAAGTGTCACTGATTTCTGGTGACATTGAATTCCACAGCCATGACATAATCATAGAGTCGTCTTCGTCCCACGCATCAAACTTTGAATCTCCAGGATTTGGACCAGTTTTAAGGTGACACAACTTTCCTTTTCCTTTTAGAATGGTTTTAACCACTTGGAACCACTTCAGATAATTCTTTCCATCAAGTTTGTAAGCAATAGGAAGGATATGCAGTTCTACGTTGGAATACTTGGAAGTCACTTCTTAAGATTGGGCTGTCACAGTAATCTTAGACATGGTAAGTCAGAGAAGAAAGGATTAGGATTAAAAGGCTATGAATGCTGATGAATAAACGAATGGCAATAAAGGCCAAAAAAAAAATCACCAGCGACGAAGGCGGAGGGATTTGATGCAGAGAAACAGGAAAATTCAACAATGAAAATGTTATGCAGGTTCGGCAATGAAGGCCAGGAATAAAAAATTTCTAATCCCAGAAATTCAAGCCTAGGCTCTGATACCATGTGGTTAAATAAGAATAATTTTTGTGTGTTTTATTCAGTCACAAAACAGATGCCTTTATAGGCTAGTACAAACCTAGGTCAACTAGCTAAAAAGGAAACATAGAAAATATTCCTACAGAATCCCTGATTACATTCTAATAATTCCCATAGAATCAGGAATTAGTATCCTAAGATTTACAGTAATTTACAACTAAAAAGGGAACTAAATGATTTACATTATTTTCCACAAATTCTTTTTATGATAATGATTTTCCTTGCTTCTGGAGGCATGTCTAAAGCTGGGGTTGTGTTTATTAAACCTCTTAACATTATTTTCCACAAATTCTTTTCATGATAATGATTTTCCTTGCTTCTGGAGGCATGTCTAAAGCTGGGGTTGTGTTTATTAGACCTCTTAACTTTGGGATGCATGTAGAGGAAAAATTCCTATATTAAGCTTTTTTTCTTTATTCTTATTTTTTTGGTGAAATGGCTGCCATGTAATATGTAAACTATTATAGGGCAACTCTAGCATCTTTGTTATGCTTTCTATGTTTATGGTCAATGCAACTCATATCCCATTATACACTGGTCGAAGTGTCAAGTTTTTTATTTGGGTACTTCTATAAATTTTGGAGACAGCTCACTGCTGCAGACTTAGTGGTTACTCTTGTCTCTTGAAGAGTGACCTGTTTCTCTTTACTTGATAAGAAGAAAAAAGCTTGTTTTCCATATATGCTCTTCTTAGATATGACTATTGACATAAGGCATGATTATTGTTTTGTGTGGTTCTAAATCTGCCTTTATATAACCCATAAGATGCATGTTTGGTGCATGAAAATTTAGCTACTATTGACCTTCATTTATATTTGCAGGAGCATTTGTTGATTGTTTGTGAATTGCTCAAAGCAAACCTATACGAATTCCATAAATTCAATAGAGAATCTGGAGGGGAGGTCTATTTTACAATGCCTAGACTCCAGGTTAGTGGCACGGCTGTCCTTTTAGGTTTTATCTTATTGGCAAATGAGTCACTAACTTGTCATTTTGATTGTGCAGTCAATTACAATTCAATGTTTGGAAGCCCTGCAATTCTTACACAGTCTTGGCCTCATACATTGTGATTTGAAGCCAGAGAATATTTTGGTGAAAAGTTACAGTAGATGTGAGGTGAAGGTCATTGATCTGGGTAGTAGTTGTTTTGAAACAGATCATCTTTGTTCATATGTTCAATCTAGGTCCTATCGTGCACCAGAGGTTATTTTGGGACTTCCATATGATAAAAAGATTGATGTCTGGTCCCTTGGGTGCATCCTTGCAGAACTCTGCACCGGCTTTGTAAGTTATTTCATTCCACTGTGGTCTAGCTTAATATTGTTTTATCGTAGTTTTTATGATATTGTGAATCTGTAAAAATGCTTGTTTGCTCGAATGCACGGCCGAGAGACTGAAGGCCTAGGCCTGACTTAAGCTTAATTATATATGTTCACTCTTTTTTAATTTGTATGATTTGTTGTTAAAAATTACAACTTGTTTGGTAACTAATTACCTGTTTCTTCAATGAATATTTTTCTGTTGTTTGTCCCTTTTGTCTTTGGTATATTGAAACTTGCAATATTATGTTGCCATTTTTTTCGTCTATACATCTGGGAAATTTTAGAGTAAATTATATAAGCAATGTTGTGCGTATAGGTCCTCTTCCAAAATGATTCTCCTGCTACTTTACTTGCTCGAGTGATTGGAATCATAGGCCCCATTGATCAAGAGATGCTTGCAAAAGGTCGAGATACATACAAATATTTCACCAAAAATCATATGCTTTATGAACGGAACCAGGTAAAGTTCTTTTTTCTGTTTTTGTTGTATCCTTTATCTTCAACCTAAACACATACTCTTGATGCAATACATCGCAATTATGGGGCATATAATTTTATTGTCGTTTTTGAATTACTTATATTAAGATAGGTCTAGCAGAGTTGGAGCCTGATAAAATAAAACCCAACATCCCCCGGAGAGCATTAGGCTGGCCACGGGCTTATTTGGAGGTGTTAGCTGAATTGATGAAATATTCTACTGAGGGTAGTATTGCATTTTCACTTTTTTCTGGGACGACAATTGCCAGAGACTTGCAATATTAGATCCCCCTCTCTTTTGTACGGTTGCCCAATGGTCTTCTTAAGCTAGTTGTAAGTTGTGGATCCTATGGAATGTTTGGATAATGGTAGTAAGTTGTGGGTCATACAAAATGTATGGATAAACGTATGTTTGGCAAGCTTAAATTATAAGCTTTGCCAAACAGCTCTCTATAGTTTCCATTGAGAAAGCACCTCACGTGTCTGAAGACCAGGTTTCATAGTACTCTTTTCCCAGGCCTTCATTTCTAAAGCATGTACCACATAATATCTGTTTTGGAACTTTTTCATGGGTTGCTTAAACATTTTACTACCAACTTTTTGAATTTAATCAATAGTGCTCCCCCTGAAGCTCATTTCTCCTCTTCAATCCTCCTCAGGACTCCAACAGACTGGAATACTTGATACCCAAGAAGTCATGCTTAAGACATCGGTTGCCAATGGCAGACCAAGGCTTCATTGACTTTGTTGATCATCTGCTTGAAATAAACCCAAAGAAACGGCCGTCTGCATCAGAAGCTTTGAAACACCCGTGGTTACAATATCCTTACGAACCAATCTCATCATAAAGAAATTGAGATTCCCGGTTGGATTATTTTCTGCTGGAGGTGGTGGTCTCATGCTTGGAGACGGGTGCTCTAATGAGAACAAAGGAAACTGCCATGTATTCTGACTGAGATTCTCTAATGATCTTCACCGTGATTCGTACTCCACCCGCCTACTAAATTGGAAGGTGTGAGTGGTTTTAATTGGTCATCCATCTTCCTTCCCCATTGCGAAGTTGTACTCTGACGCATAACAACAGAAATGTAAGCTTTTTACACACAGTGTATTGCTATGTCATTCGGGTTTCTGTATTGGTGAAAGGGAAATCAATCTCTGCTCTTGTTCTACATAATGTGATAGTTCTTTTAGTTAATTTAGTATTAGATTGTGAAGTTAGCTGTTTTTGATTGGCTTGAACTCTTCCGTCGTATTAGTATGAAGCAAGGTCAGTGAAAAATATTTTCTGTGTTTGGTTAATTTATCCTTTTTAAACTTATTTATATGAGCAGCTATTTTTGTGTGTGCGTATCTACTGGCAAATTAACATGTACAAGGTTTCTTTCTTAGGTTTCAACTGGTTTATTGGGTTAAATATCCAAGTTGAAGTTGTCATTGAACTTGACTGAATATTTCTTAGTTGCTATTGAATTTTAAAAAAAATCCAAGTTGCCACTGAACTTTTTCAAATGCTTCTCAATTTAAATTTATTTCATAGGACTGAGCGCGATCTAGTTCGATTCGATTCGATTCTAAAGGATGTAATCGAATATTAATGAGAATCTTAGAAATTGAACTATTGATTCCATATTCAACTATAGAATCGAACTGGAACGGAACTTGTTAGGGAAGATTTTATAATTAAGAGGTTTAGTTTTATCAATTTCAAATTTAAGATATTATATTTAAAATTTCAGAGTTTTTCAAATTTTATTTATAAGTTAATTAATTAATTATATATTTTATTAATTAAATATATTAATGTCACAATTTCATATAATTTGATTACAAAGTCCATATAATTGGTCAAATATTATTAATCGGTAACAAATCACAATTTTCATGTCACAAATTATTTTACGGTCACAATTCAAAAAGTTTAAAGGTCACAATTTGTTCATCGGTTACAAATCAAAAATTTTATGTCTCAAATTTTTTTTACGGTCACAAAATATCAAATTAATTGATTACAAATTATATTTAGGTCACAATTTATCAAATTATTAATCACAAATTAATAAATTTTCAGGTCACACGGTATTTATTAGTCACAATTTATCTATTTCATTGGTTACATATTATTTATTGGTCACACATCAACCAACTTATTCATCACAATCAACCAAATTATTTGTGACCACCACATTCACATAGTTGCAACAATCCAAACCACCGTCGTCAAAACCACCTCCCATCAACAAAACCATCATCTCAAATTTGATAAGTTGTGACCGTCACAATCGCAGCTGCAACCACCAATAACAAATCAGATGCAAAACCAACAACAACCACCGGCACCTCGCAAACTATCATCTAAAATACCATCACCACCACGACCCACCCACGACCACCGTTTCACTACCACCACCACTAAAACCACAGGACTTCCACTTCCACCTCCACCACCACCATCCTACAACCCAAAACAATCCCCAACCCAACCATCATCGCCGCCACCGCCACTGACCACCACACCACCTCTCAACCACCATTAAAACCACAGATCCACCACCACCCAACCACCGCAACCCTACCATCATCTCTGCAAATGTTCTTTTCCAGGTGATTTAAATGGCTTTTTTGAAACTTTATTCGGAATATTGCTTCCACCTACTTTCGGTTTTTTAGGGTTTGATTTCCTCCCTTCCAATTTCGAACCCGGAGCCCACTTTCTCTTCTTCTCGAGCTTCGCCGTCATTGACAAATTGAAGCTCAGAATTCTTCTATATGAGAAACACCGAAAGCTTCCTAAAGTTAGTCAAGGGACTCTTCTGTTTGTCCTCAAACACACGATAAGCATGCAAGAAATGTAGTCTCATGTAAATCTCACCTCCAAATCTATAACAGGCATTACCTCAATATCTAGAAATATAACAATTAATACACAAAAACTAAGGGCAAAAAGGAAACTTAGGACTCATTTGATATCAGTTTGAAGGTGGTTGTTGGAATAACATAAAAGTGCTGGATCTAGATTGTCTATGATGCTATGTCATTTCCCTCGTCCATTGTTGATTTGTATATTCTCAGTTGTCATGGTCCTACCAAATAAAGAGAAATCAATCATTAGTAATATGGAATAATTTATAATAAGCTTAAACACATTACAACCTATAGGGCAATATGGAGATGAAGATTCCTAAACCACCAAAAGCAATAAAATTATCTAATCCTATATCATAAAAGGAAAAAAATTGGGCTGCCTCACAATAAACGCTTGTTTATAATCATAGCTTGATTTTGTTGTTTTGGCTATTCATGGTAGTTTTAAAAGGAAGTTTTCAGCTTTGCAGTGACTGCACTGATAGATGTTCCTTAATTTCTCTTTGACCAGCAAAATTTTAAAATTTTCACACTGGTCCTTATTTTCTCCAACCAATCCACCAACTCCTTTTTTTGTAGTAATAACTTTCATGATCATCATTTTCTTCATGATCAATTCTTTTGCATTCCTCAAGGTCAGCATGTCACCTAAGTAAATTATTCATGGTGAAACTTTGTTGTTTGCCCTCCACCCTTAAGTTAATCTCGCCTTTTTCAAAATCCATTAGTGCATGTTCAGTTGCTAAAAATGGTCTTCTTGAGATAACCAGAATGTCTTGATTTTCTTTTATATCAAAGATGATGAAATTAGCTAAAAAGGTGAAATCTTCAGCTTTGATGAGCATATCCTCAGCCACTCTATGATGATACTTGATTGACATGTCAGCCAGTTGTAGAGTTATTGAAGTTTTCTTTAGATACCCCATCCTAATTTCCTATAGATACACAATGACATTAAAATAATGTTTCAGAATCAATTAAAGTATTTTTGTATTATGTGAATTTTCTATAGAGTAAGGTAAAATGAAATTCTCTGGATCTTTTAGCTTGGAAGGGAGCTTGTGTTGCAGGATTGCGCTGCACTTTTCAGATAATTCCATTGTTTCGTGTTTCTAGCGGCTTTCTCTTCTTAGTTGTTATTCTCCTTCATAAAATTTGCATAATTTGAATTTGCAAGATTGTGTCAATGAAAGGAATGTTGATGTAAAGTTGTCTAAGAGCATCCAAGAAATTCTTGAACTGTTTTTCCAATTTATTGTTCTGCGATCTTTGAGAAAATAGGACTGGAGGTGTGTTTATATAGATAGGGATAGTTACGTTAGCATGTAGTATGTCCTCTTCTTGATTTACCTTTGTTGATTCATCATAGTGAACCACTTATTCCTCGCCCTTGATAGATACCTGATTCTCTTCAATCCCTTTCTTTTTTACAGTAATTTCTGGCAGCTAACTACTTCTCATTGTGATGGCATGGACTTATTCTTATTTAGGCTACCTTCAAAGCCTTTAAAAGAATGGGATAGACGACACGTAAGCTCGTACATGCTCAGCAAACTTGATTAATGGTGTGTCAACTATTTCATATTCCACAGCTTGAATTGCTAACATTTGTCCCCTTGGTTATTTTATGTATCGTTAGGCAGGTTACTTTGTGTTTTGTTGGACAATGATTTTCCAGATTTTGAATAGACGTCGTTGGTTTTGGAGTACAGTCTCGATCTTTATAATGTGCTGAACCATTAGATCCTTCCAAGATGACTTCTTCTCTTATTGTTCCTAAATTCTAGTGGGTTGCCCAGAATCTAATTTCCTTGGCCATGATTATTAGCCCATGAGAAGTTTGGTTGATTTTTCCAACCCCATTTGTATGTGTTGGAGTTAGGATTGTTATGTTGCCTTTGGAAATTCTGTACATATTATACTCTTCAAACTGATATGTGTGAGTGGAAGACAATGGATAACTTGCAATTGTATGATTTGCCCCGCAACCTTTATAGACCGATATAATATGTTGCATCATGTGCACTGTCTGAGTGAGGTTGTCCAACTTATTTGTCAATACCTCAATTTGGGTTGTTAAATCTTTTATTCTATCAATATTATGCATCCATTCAGTTTTCCTATGAGTTTCTCTGTCAGATGGCCACATAGACTGATTTTTTGTTATTCTTTCATATAACTGGTTTGCTCTGTCTATAGGCAGGTCCATTACTCATCCTCCTGTTGAAACGTCGACCATTTTACGATATTTAGAATGAAGCCTGAATAGAAAATGTAAACTTAGACTTATTTAGGAATGTTAAGGTTTGGATACTTTCAGAAATATTCTTTGAATCTTTTATATGCTTCTAGATGGCTCTCAAGATTCTTTTGCTTGAAAGTGTGTATCTCTTTCCTGATTTGATGAACTCGAGATGGTGGGAGGAATTTCATTGTAAATTTATGCACCACATCATTCCAAGAAATAATGCTTCCAGCAGGTAAAGAATGTAACCAATCTCTTGTGCGATCCTTCAAGGTGTGAGGGAATAAATGCACCAAAAGGCATCAACAATAATTCAGCTAATGACCCTACAAAGCATCATGAAAGCTTGAATATGCTCATGTGGATTCTTAGTTGCTTTCTCGAAGAACCTAATATCTTAATTATTTTGACATAGATTGATGATATCTGGTCAAAGATGGAAATTAACTTGCCCGAAAAGAAGATAAATAATAGTCTGTTGCATAAGAGCTGGAATGGAATCACATATCCCCTAGTAATACTTCACCATCAATTGGTAACTGCTCTTGGCGAAACCGGCTGTGCTGGCGGATCTGGTGGTAATTGAACTTGATTTTGATTCATTTTCTGCCATCTTTGTTTCCCTTTCTCTTTCTAATCGACGTTCTCTTCTCCTTTATCCAAAAGTTCTTTTGATCTCAGGATCCAACGGTAGGGACTCGATATCGTCAGAATCTTGCATAAACAACTAGATAGCCC